CGTTTGCTGAATCACGCTTCTCTGTTGGTGGGACTGTGAATCGTCAGCCTTCCCAAGTCCACTCTCAGGGCTTGGCGCGAAACCTAGCTATCTGGTCAATCATGGCCTTCCGTTCCTTCTGCCACTCAGCCTGGCAAAGGACTCCTTGCGCACACTGAGCATCACTCGGTCTGGCCCTGGCCTCTCTCTTGCATTCGCCGGGCTCCGGGTGAAACAAGACAACTAGCCAGTCTCGTTCGACTTCGGTCAGAGCCACGCCTCCAGGTGATCCTTCACCTGCTGCATGCCTCAGCTGCTGAGGCAAGCGCTACTTGAGATATCAAAGGCAAAGAAGAGGAAAAGGAACTGGAACACGCAAATACACTCTCCGTCTCTCACAAAGGGGCACGCAAGCACGCACATGTCGTGCGTGCACAGCTTCGCTACGAGGCAGCGATGTTGCCCAGGACAGTTTGCAAGCTCGTCAGTTTTCTTCATGGCCTCTGCGAGAGGTCTCGGACAAAGACGTCCGCCCTGGCGAGTCGGTGCACATCTTTGGAGACCACGCTGTCTCGGCACCACGATAGGCTCGCCTCTGAGCTTGAACGCGTCTCGGAGCTCTCAAGAAGTTGCTGAGGGGCTGTACATCGCGGCTCAAGCAGCTCAAACGTATTTCACCGTCAGGCCCGGCACACCCAGCTCTGGATGAACCTCGCTTGATGCACGCAAGCACACGGAGAAAGAGACGAGACAGAGAGAGACAGAGAGAGAAACAAAAACAAGAGACCGACACAAACAAATCATTCGATTGCTCCCCGTTTTCTTGGATCCGTTCTGCGGCCACAGGCCTGGCATAGCAACACGACGTAATCGCACAGACAGCCGTTGGGTGTACTCTACCTGGGCCCCGGGGATTAACAAGCCATTGGTACTTCCGCCGCGAGGACTGTTAGCCGAAACTTTATTTACCGGCTTTGTCCTACCAGAAAAGCAAGCATGGGCCTTTACGACAAGGCGAACCTCAGGACCGCCTTCCATCAAGCATCGATGTTCGCATCGGAAATGTTTCTTTTGACGGAGTTCCTGTGTGCAGATGGCGGATGTGTACATCTGGCTTCAATTTAATCTGGGCTTGCCAATGAGTAAAGTACATAACATGCCAAAAAGACGCCCGATGCAGGGCCCGGTGCTCTGGCCACAGTGATAAGTCTCAACAGGGTACTGGCTCCGTAATGGCTACTTTCTCAGTGTCGACTCATTTCCCAGCTCAATCACACCTGCACACCAGAGAGCAGCTGCGCTGAAAGTTCAACCCTTCAAACGGCACAGCACACTACGACACGATGTTTCATACAATCAACTCACCAGGTATTGCTAGGAAGCAAGACTGTCGACGTAAGCAAACTCCGAACCAAGTGAGCAGCTACTGCAGAAGTGGATGAACCAGACATGAGACTGAAAGCAAATTTAGTGTATCAACCCCTGGGCGGCCACCACAGTCTTGGGGCATGCTGGTAACCCACGGCAAGTCCAATGGCCCGAGCTCGACCACGCTTCATGTTTTCTTGTTTTTCTTTATTATGGTCTTCGACATCTGAGCATCCGGCGGACCAGCCCGCTGTCTCATCTCGATCTCCCAAGCGATCGCAGGGAAAGTCCGGCTCCTGAAACAATTGGGCTTGAGCTTGAACGACTTAATGAAGTCTTGAACATGAATTTGTCCTCTTCTGACTGGGACTCGAAATCTGTATCATAAAATGAAATCACATTCACCTAAGAGCCTCATTCGCTTGCATGCCCGCCGTCATGCACCCGTCCTTGCATGAGCCCGACTTTGGAACGCTTGCCTCTCAAATTTGCGAAGCGTCGTCTGTCGGCTCTGGACGCTGCACATCGCATCAAAAACATCCGCGGTCACAGTCTAGGGGACACCATCTTTCGCCCTCTGCAGCTCCAAGCGAGGATGAATGCACAAATTTTCTCCGCCACAGGAGGCTTACCAAACGACGATGTTTGCACAAAAGCCTTGATGATCATGGACAGCAAGCTCTGATCGTGCCGGTTCTCCTGCGGCAAGCGCAACCCGACGTGACACTTGCTGTGAGCAGGCTGCTAGGCTTTATCGGCCTCCGCTTGATGTACATGCGAGAAAATCTACAGACCTTAAGTACTTCTCTCTCAGTCTCCTTCCTTTTGAACCAGGGGCCATCCAAGTCTTTGTTCCTCAGAGCGACGTCATGAAATCTCCCGATTCTCACGATTGCACATCTAACTTGTGATTTCCAGGCTATGGCTCACAATTCATCATGTCCAGGCTCCGGGAAGGCTCGTCGGAGACGAGGTGAAAATCCTGGAAGCCGAGGTCGCTCTTCGACAACGTGGACATGCAAGGCAACTGGCAGCCTGAGCATCAATGCCACACTCAGATAGCGTCTTTCCGTGGCCTCCATGAGCATCTCCCAGATCTGCAAGACTTTGAGCGTACGCTCGTTCAGCCGCATGTAAAATGCCTCTAGGGAGCACAGAAAGCAACTGTACCAAGCTTTGAGCTCGTGTCATGTTGGCGGCACCGACAGAACTAACCATCTTGGGAAAACACATATGTTCTGTCTCCCAGGTTGAAACAGGACTTCAAGCGTAGAAGAGCTGAGACATCGGCAAAGGCGGCCTGGCCTGTGCTTTCGGCTGCTGTGTGAGCCCATAATGGAGGTCGTTCCAGGTTGTGCCAAACCGTTGAAAGATGTCACCTTTGGTCCAAACCTGCACAGTCATGTCTGCGTCAAAACACGTGTTCCTGCATCTCTGCGCAGTGAACCGAAGACAGAACATAAGCAACCTACAATAATCAGTATATTCAGTCCAGCGAAGGATCACCGAAAAAATCCAAAGCGTCAACCACTGTAGAACGAACCAACGAACCCAATGAATCCAAAACCGCCAGAACTCCTCACGCCAATACTTATTTTCCGAGTTGGCAAGGAGCATGTTCACAGTGAGGCTGCGCGGCAATGATGATGTCCTGCGTATCTTTGGCGTCTTGAACCCGCCACATCCTCTAGATAGCTCCTGTTAAACGATTGCCTAGGTGCCTGCGCGAGGCCACATATGCCCTGCCTCATTGCACAGCCCACAAAGGCAATGCCGCTACTATACAGCTGTGATGATGGTAAAACTTTGGTCACCCAGCATACAGGCTCATGGCCTAAGGAGATATAAGGAGTATCTAAACTGGGTACAAGTTAAGGGAACCTTGTAACCTTGATGCATCCCGCCTGCTTGTGCATGGCACTCATTCTGATGAGGTGTTTCATCATGGGCATGGAATCCGCATCCACCTTGCTTCGAACATGGGAACAGGCAGACGAAAATTAAATCTGGCATCTGTATGCTTCGCACGCTGAGAGTGCTCTACAGTTTATCAGGGGTTGAACACGTCTTGCAATTTTGCCCCCAACATCAAAAGCACGACTTCTGCAACATGCCTGTGCAAATGCAGGCCGGCACGCTGTGAAAAGTCTTGAACCGCCTGGGGCCTAGGATGGCTTCAATATAATAATCCTGGTGGCATACAGCAGATCGTCACCCAGCTGAAGAACCTCAGATCAGAAAGTCACAAGCCCATCTAGCAGGTCTTGCGATCCGAAGACCTCTGCAACGAACATCCTCGCACTGTACCTCATCCCCTCGAGAAACATGTAGCTTGCGAGCTTGCAGGTTTCCGGCCAATACAGACCAAGGCACACCTTTGGCCAGCAACAGTCGCGATATGGCGGCCTGTAGCATGATGTAATGGAAGTTCAGAAGCGATCTTTGACGACGACAACCTCCGATCAGCAAAGGCCGAGGGCCTTCCAAAACCAATACCCTCGACCACGCACCTTCGGCCTCAGTGCCAGCTTCCAGAGTCACCGAAACCCCAAACCAAGGAAACATGTGTTTGTCTGGCTCCTTTGACTGGGTATTCTTGGGGAAGGTGTGGGTCGTCACATTTGGCTTCGCTGCGTGCACAGGAAGCTGCAAAGCGAACCGAGGGGTCTGCTGGGAATGTCGCTCATGGCATTTATGACATACTTTGCGCGCGTAGCACTTTGCATTGAAGGTCTTTGTATCCTCGCAGTGTGAGGGTTCCAATGGGTTCCAGAAAAATACAGAGACAAGGTGGTTTTCTATGCTTGCAGCCGGAGTTTTGTTGTGTTTTCTTGCGCTTTCGTGTTGTGCGCATGGGTTCAATTGGTGACAGAGGCAATACCCGCCCAACACCATAGAACGAAACACGGAATTGAATGGATTCCAGGTCTGAAGCGGGGCCAAAACCAGCCCAAAGCATAAACATCCATTTCATCTTTAAACTCTTGGTATTTCATTTATGGGTCTTTGTGGGTGCAGGTGGTCTGAGAAGCCAGAACCGCCCAAAACCATGGAACAATCATGGAATTCAGCCGATGTCAGATCTGAAGCGGAGCCAAAGCCAGCCCAAACCATACCAAAAACAAAACCACAAAAACATACGGATATGCACAGTCTATGGATGTTTATGGTTATCTATGGCATGCTTTTTTTCATGACTTCAGACGGTGTCAGAGGCAACAGCCAAAGACAAAAACAAAGGAGTTCAGTAACTTTGAGATTTCAGCCCTGAAATGGAGCCAAATCCATCCAGAACCGTGGACCGGAAACACCAACGAACAAATTCAGAACCACACCTTAGCAACGAAAATGCGACGAAGATTAAACCCTGAACCAACAACACATAACAGCAAGCTACAATCCTAATTCCCACACCACATGTCTTGATTTTGAATAACATCCTAATTCCCACAAACAGCACTGCAGTTCAACATGATCCCCACTCTGGCTTCCACCTGCCAAAACAAAGCATCGCTCTAGTCTAGATGACCTCAACGATGGAGGGAGAAAACTCGCTCCATTCCCGCCCATGGAGGTGTAAATACAATTTTGCGACTCATCGCCCGCTGCAGGGCCACATGTTAGCCACATTACACCAAGACCGTGACTTCACATGCTGCTGCCAGCGCGGGTCGTTCATCAGCTCGCCCGGGAGACTGCGACAAGCGGAGGCTTCGGTTTTCGTAGACTGTCAGAGGATATGCGGGGCCTGGTGTAGAGGTGTCTCTCCTGAATCTGAGGAGCTGTGTCAGCCTCTTTCTTCATGGCCTCCATCTCCTCAGGTTTTCGTGTGCAGTCAAGCTTGAACGTCGCATCGGCCACACGAATCTGCTAAGCATTGCCTGCTATTCGGCAGAATCAAGCATGCTTCCCCAGCCCTCAACGACTCAAATCTGGGCGAGACTGGCCTTGATGAAGCCAAGGTTGCACTGTTGGGTTTGGTCCTGTGGAGTGCAGCGAGGCCACCGAGGATCTCTCTTTCATTTTGCGGGTTTCGGCGTCAACAACATATCCCCGTGCCGATCCCATGGCACTGTTTAGAAAAGCCGTGTCCTGAGAGCAGCTCCGATGGCTCAGAAGGTGCAGCTTCGCTGCACCCTCGCGGGTCAGGGGAACCTTAGAGACTTCTCGGCATGCAAGGCAGTTCAACTCTTGAAATGCTGCTGAGTATTGTGGCTGTCTCTGGGTAGTCCTCTCCCTGATTCAAAGGCAGCGCCTTCCAGGCAGAACGTTTTGGGTCTGCCGGAGATTCAATTGAATCAGTTGGCATTCCAGATTTCGGAAATTGTGGCCTCCTGTTCGGGTGTACCTCCGTGGAGTGTAGGGGCAATCCTAGCAGCACAGGGCCTAGGGCACAGAAGAGAACACTTCAAATCAACAGCTGAATCTGTATCTCCTTCGCATACGCACCTCAACGGACATGTGTTCATTCGGTTCATCGAGCTACAATATGCTTTCAAAACGAGGTCTAGGACTGGATGGAGTCTGCGGAGTGTGCAACAAGGTAATGCTTCTCTGCCATCGGCGCGTCCTGTCGAGTCCGCAAAATGCTAGCCGCAATGTCGCCTCTGAGTTCCCAGCCAAAGCTTGCGCCGGTGAGGGCGGCGAGGGGACAGGGGCTGGCGGCAGTACAGGCCTGAGAAAGCAGGAAGGCCTGTTTGGGAAAGCTTTGCCGCTGCATGGACTGGGTCCTAGTTTGTTTATGATGATGAACTGTTTATGTCAAGTGTAACTTCATTTCTAGTTTGGATATTATCTACTCTGCTGGTGCCTGTGATTACAACAAACGATGGTCATGACTTGGGCAAGTTTGACAGAATTCAGTGGAGGCTGTGCGAATGCAATACGGAAAACTTCGAAGTCGTCGTTTGTCAAGATGGAACTAAAATGCTGACCCGTTCCGTTAAGTCGCATGTCAACCGATAGAACAGTGCCTGCAACTCAACCGTGCTACGATGTGCCCATCGCATTTCAATTAAATCCTTCTGAGCCCCTAGTTGCTCTAGTTGCAACAGTAAGATGAATTGCAGGAGCGGCAGAGGACTGTACTGAGCTTGCGAAGCACCTCGTGCTCAGAGCAAGTAACCGAAACCTTGAGACAGAACAGTCTCAGGCACGCTGGTTCGGGCAAGCGTTGTGAGCTTGGCGCAGCGGCGTGTGCCTGTTGCAGAAGCGAGCTTCGACAGCCTCCAGAAGGAATAAATTCATATCGTAACCTGGATGATTACAACAGTTTTGGGTGGCGACACTTGCAGCACTTCGTGTTGGGACTCCGAGTTACAGTGTGGCTGCTGCAGATGCAAGCCCTGTGCAAAAAGCAGTCCTGCCCGTGTTGGGGAGGAAACTCGCGCGATACGACCTCCATTCCTATGTGTTCTCGCCGAAACCAACAGTCCCCGTCAGACAGGAAAACCCGTGGTGCATGCGTTACAATCAAGAAGCCGATTATGTTAAACTGGAGCCGGAACCTGTGGAGGCACCGGTGAAGGACCTGATTGGCCTGCCAGGAGCGGCCCGAGCATTTGTGGCCGAATGCGTAAGATTGCAGCAACTAGGGAACAGTCGCCGAACACTTTTTGACTTCACCTACCATGATGGAGGCAGTCTCACGGGGGGCAAGAGTTGAAAAAGGATTGAATATGGCCAAGTCAGTCTGGCCAAGGAAAGCAGCTATCAATTCTCAGCTTCGTCAGCTGTCGGCAATGCTGGCCAAGCCTGCGGCCGGAACTCGCTGCTCCAGCCTGCCGATCGATGATGGGCCAGGCTGTGCACCCGACAGCAAAGAATGTCGTAACAATGCTCAAGGCTCAATGATGAGGCTCACTTCGGCAGTGCCTGGCCACAGCCTCCTCAAGGGCGACGATTCGGTCCAGCACCTGACAGCCACCGACACTTAGAGAGGCAAGTGCTCCACGGCTGGACGTGCGAGTCCACCCTTGACTCCCTTGCCTTTCAAAAGGCCGGCTGAAGGCTGGCAAGCAATTGCACGGACTTTGGTGAAGGCTCCGATCACTCCGTCTCGCTCTCTGTGTGTCTCTCTACTGGGTGACTGTGTGCCAGGCTTCCTTGTTTTCCGTCAAGGCCGGCCTCAATCATGCGTCTTGCAACCAATGGCTCTCCCAACGTGAGTTGGCTGCAGTCCAACAGACTGAGACATGCATGAAGGGTTTCAGTCGCGTGGTTGAGAGCGGGGACTTCGTGTGCAATCTTTGACATACTGATGCACTGCATCAAAGTCTCACCGGAACCTACAAGCCCGGTTGCATCGACGCTCGCGAGGGCTTCCTGGGCATCGTACATCGGAAAGGACGATGCCAAACCAGTCTGGTTCGATACGAAAGCCAGGAGCAGATACCTGAGCTTGGCAAAGCCACTGGCTGCTGACCGGGATGGGGCAGCTTCTGGAAGCGCAGTCCTAGCAAGTACGAGACCCACTGGAGATGCATGTACTCCCAGCAGCCTGGGGCCCCTCACAAACTCAAGGCAGTGTCCCTGAAGCCCCTCATGTATTTCTCCCAGGTGCAGTCCGGCCAAGGCCAGGAAGACTTTCCAACCTCGTCTCAAGAAACTTCATGCTTCACGCCGCAACTCGGCCCATGAGGACCCGCGGCCATGGATCTCTGAAGATCTTCTACAGTGCAACAAGCTTCAAGGTACAGTCTGGGCAGAGTCTGGGTACCTGGCCACAGCCCATGAAACCACCGCCTCGAAGTCTTTGCGAGATGGCATGACAAAACTCTAGCTGCATGCTTCTCTCTGCGTGGCAGCTGCTGAATCGTCCACGCTTGGCGGGCGGGGGTCCTCAATTCATGTCTGCTCTACTCGCCTTCGTCCTCTTGCGAGCGTCTGCCACGCCGGCGATCCATGAGGTACGGCCCAGGTGCGGTTTATCACACTCGGACCAGCTAGATGAAGCTCTTGGTTTGCATTCCTCAGAGTGAAAAAGTGTTTGGGGTATGGGCGGCCTGTCGGCAATGGCCACCAAACTCGCACAACAACATTGACCTCGCTCAACATGACATGAGCACCCAGGGCCACCCACTCGTCATTAACGAGTCGACCAGCCAATACGACTTCGAGACTGGCACCCCTTTCAGTACGGCACGTAACATAAGCAAACAATGCACAGTCTGAAAAAGAGACCTCGGAACAGGATATAAAGAGACCTTGGAACAGGATATACCCTCATTTAGGGCTGCAGGTTTCAAGCTGTTCGTAGAGATGTGCCATGCATGGCTGATAGCTTAAGTGCTGCGGGGCTGCCGACTGTCATGCTGCACCTCACCAAGACAGCGGTCCAATTGCACAAGCATGACCGTGCTTCGGCAAGTTGCTGGCCAGTACCACGGCGCTGCGATGTTGTTTTGATGCATGATGTGCATGAGACCAAGGGCCAAACACCAGAGCTGCTGCTGGACGTAAAACTCAGCCATGTCTTCCTCTTCACCCTGGAAGCCCTGCGCTTCAAACTCTCTCCGCTTCTGCTAGTCATGAAGCGCTCCTCTGCATGTGCTCGCCACTCGCCAACAAGGCGGGCCTCCATGGCGAGAGCCTCTGCGGGGTCCAAACCTTCCATAGCCTGAGCAGGGTGACTGCCATGCCCATGAGCAGCTGTGCTCCAAAGCCGGGGGGCCGTTTCAGAAGCTGACAGTGCAAGCAGTTGATTCAAGGTGGGGAGTGTCTGCTGGCACACTGTCTGATACTCAAGTTTGGGACCCGGCAATAGGCGATCCGAGCACATCCGTCTCCACAGCCATGGGAGTCAAAGCATCCGGATTCATTCCCTGAGCTCGGTCGACGTTGCAGAAGCTCTGAACACTCATGGAGCTTCCTTCCTGCTCCATCTCTCTTGCCAAGGTGGGCCAGTTGGATCAATTGTGACTGGGCATACAGCACAAGCCGGCAGGAGGTTCAATTACAGAGTGTCGTGCAGGTTCCAGAGTTGATCATGGTTCCAACTGTGGCACGGCCAGAGAACTTTGGGCCCGGGCCGTCCATCCGGTCTTGCCGGCCCCATTCCAAGCGGCTGGGCCCAGCCTTGATGAGTCGTCGAGAATACAGAAAGACATCATCAACGCTGGGGGAGTATACTGCTGAACATTGAAGCTAGGAAAGCATTGGCAGCCACGGCAGCGAGTCTATTTTCCATTTATCATGAGCATCATATCAGAGCGATTGGAAACTGAGCGAGTTCATGCTTTTCTGTGCGGCTGAGCTGGTGAACAAATGCACACAACCACATGTAGTTAGGTATGTTTTGATTGTAAATATGAAACATTCGCCTCACCCGCCGAGGCAAGGTGACAATGGCACACTGCACGGAATTGACTGCAATCGGTTGATTGGCTCATGCTTTATAGATGAATCCGTATGTCTGTCGGTCTGTCTCTCTGTCTGTCTGTGTCTTTGTCTGTCTGTCTGTCTGCCTGTCTGCCTGTCTGCATATATGTCTCAACAAAAGTATCATGTTCAATCAAAATGTGTGTGTGTGTCTAGGTACAGGCATGTAAGCATATCACGTTCTGGTATGTACATGTATATGTGTATGTATGTGTGTACATGCATACGCGTGTCAATGTACGTTTGTGTCTGCATATGTCAGGCTGCACGAAACGAATATGTTAAAAATAATGCTGTTGCATGTTTATGTAAGAGTGCGTGTGCAATCGAGTGTATGCATGTGTACTGTACGTATGCACATATGTGTGTATGTATGTATGTATGTATGTATGTATGTATGTATGCATGCATGCATGTGGATCCTACCAGTATCTGTTCTCTCTTTCAGCTCGCGGCGCAGGTGACCCTGCAGAACTGGCGTTCGTGCTCGGGCCCACCACGGGAGAGCGAGTCAAGCCTGGCTGTATGTTGTGTTGTTTTATGCCTAGATATACGACTACCTTAGTTATAAATGCATACTATGTTACTATGATATCATAACCGTGGGTTTGCAAGGCTGCTTTAAAGTGCATCTCAGTCACGGTTGATCCCGACAGCTGATAAAATTGCCGCTGTTATGTTTGAAGCTATGGCCAACCATGGTCGTTCGTCTAAGCAAAGCAGCAGACATACCACTTTCACGCCATCTTCAACAGATTCTAGGCTGGCTGCTGGGAAGAGCCAGAGGCATTGCTCACATGAGACGGCAACTCATGCGGCGTCCCGCCCCGCCTGAATGAGAGTGGGACCCTCCAAAAGTTGATCCTGGAGGAGGTTCCACAAAGGCAGCGTGCAGTACGTCCCGGCACTGCGACTGAAACGCTGAGTATCTCTGTTTCTCTCTCCCTCTTCCCCAATATTCCAAGTGCTCCCATCACAGTCTCCGAGTCTTGGCCTGAGGAGCTCAGAGCTGCTCCAGCCTAAAAGGCGACGGAGGGAGTGCTAAAAATTCTAGACATTCATGGCTTTCTTTACAAGGGCTGCTTTGCCAATCAACCGAAGTGAACGGGGATAGACCCTTGACACTATTTTTTTGCCGTGAAGGGGACAAGACTGTCTGTGCGAGCAAGCTTCTATCCTTCCGTTTGCAGTCCAAGAGAGCGCAACACCGCAGAGATGCATAGGGGTACCAGAGGTGGACTCGAGGAGAGACTTCTCACGCCAATGGACAAAAACTGGGTGTGCAGTTCATCGGGAGATCTACTCATCTGTAGGCCCTGACAAGCCAACTTAACTGCCTAAGAGTTGCCCAAGCTTCTCCGACACATGCCTTAGCCTTAACGCAGGCAAGTCTTTCACAAAGGCTCGGGCATCTCCGACTGTGCCGGGAACGAAATCTTTCCTCAGAGTCTCCACCACTGGCACATGCGACTCCGGACTGACCGAGGACCTAGTCCTACAGTACCTCACTTGGCCAGCACAATGCAGGGTTTGGGCACTGGCTAGGGTCTTTGATGCCGCTCCATGGCTGAGAAAGCGGCGCGGAAGTCTTCCAACTCCACTCTCCGGCAAGTCCCGAGGAGTCTGAGCCTCGGAATCTACACTGCGCCACTGCCATATACTGCCATGCCCCGCAGGCATGTCCATGCCATCGGGGCTTTTGGCCTTGGACCACGCAGGCTCGCTTGGGCCAGCGCCGGCCACGTCGCAACCGGTTGGCCTGTTGAATCAAGGCAAGGTCTTGATCCAATGCAGACTGACGCTTAAACTGCCGGACAATCCTAAGTAAGGCCCAGAGACTCCCCAAGAAAGCAAGACAATGCGTATGAAAAGCTGAAAACTTTAGCCTCGATCTCTGCGGAATCTGCTGCAACTGGTGGCTAAAAAGCCCGGGCGCCGCACTCAGCGCACAAGCCAGGTGGGGGTTCCCTTACAGCAGGATATCTGGCGAAGAAGTTGCGGCGGAAACAGACATCTCACTGTCACTGCCCTGAGCACCCACGCATCAGGTCGTCATCCACGTTGTTCAGCGCATCCAAGAGTGTGTGCCTCGGAAGGCGAAGGCCCGAGCTCAGGCGAACGCCCACGAGCAAAGCTCCCATCATAAGTGCATCTGCAACTACTTCGTGCTTGCGCTCATGTTGGGAGTATTCAAATACACGTATGGTCGTCTCTCCGAGCTGCGGCAGCGTCGCGGAAGGACTGAGCAGCTGGTCGTCAGCGTCCTGCAGCGCTCCGAGAAGTTGAAAGCTATCCGAATCCGAATGATGATGAAAAAGGGGATTCCTTGGCCCATTCACCCAGAATTTCTCTGACCTCGGCCTTAGATCCTATCCTGAAAGATGAGTTGGAGAGCACACTGGCACTGCAGCACAAGCTCTTCTCAATTATTGCCATGTTGTGATTTCAAGCAGTGAACTGCTTAGGCCCCGACCATGTCCAAGCCGCCACCCTCGGTGGCCTTGAGATCCAAACATAACGAGTCTTTGGAGGAGTGAATTCTGCTTCTTCAGGCTTCCTTCCGGGCAGCGCAGGGCAGGGCAGGGCAAGGCAGGCTGAAGCACACCTGGGAAGCACCACTCGCACACAAGACAGTCCAAAGAAAGACAAACCCTAAGCCACCACACGCAGCTTGATCATTCCTAGCACCAACTCAGGGCAGCATGAAGTTCGCTGATGATGTCAGGCAGGCCACCAGTCTGGGAAGAGCCTGCACCCCAAACAGCTGTGAGCCAGCGGGCGTCCAAGCAGAGCTCCAACTCCGGCGAACTTGCGGCAGTGCTACACTATCGTGTGGCTGTTGCGACGTCTCCGGTCCCAATGCGAGCTTGCAAGCTGCACCAAGGAACACCGTGTACCACGAGCCAGGTTTTCCGCACCTTTAATCATTTAATCTGACCAGCTCGTGTTTCACACCTTCGGTGCCGGAGGCCAGCATCCTCCTGAAAGAGCCGGCTTGTAAAACCTTGCAGGTCCGGTTACCAGCTGTTCATCAAGGGACATGCCCATGCAGCTACTGTTCCTGCGATGGTCCTTGGCACAATGAGCTTGCTTTTTGGTACAGTACGGCTACACGCAACCACTCCTCTTGGAAGACAACTTGGCTCTCGTCCCGGATCTCTTGGCAAGCTTTGTCAAGACAAGGCTAGCTGGTACACCCTGGAGCATTCCGCAAGCAAAGCCTGAGACAGGTGCTACCACCTGCAAGCGCGCACAGGTTTCCAGAAAATCGCCTTTTACATGATATCCATTTTTGATGTTTGGTTACATGTAAAAGCAAACCCCTTCCGGAAGGGGCTGGACGCTAGCTCTGTAGGACCCTGTTTTGAGGCACATTGTAGGTTAGCAGCAAGTCCAGTCTGGCCACCTGCACGCTGTAAGGCAGCAGCTTCGTCTGCCGAAAATCACGAACTATCACCACCCGATCCGTTCATGTCTCTGCAGTGGCCCCGCCAACCATGTTGCAGAAATCTGGTGGAAAACAAGGTGGCGCATGCATGGCAGCAAAGAATATGCTCCGGAGCTAGCACGCATCAGGGGACACTGCCGATGCAGAACGGCAGGACGGCTCTGTACATTTCTGTGCGATCCGCTGTTCTCGAGCGGCCTCCGTCTCCTACAGTCTGGGATACCACCCAAAGCTGGTCTGGAAGCATCGCGAAAGATTCGGCTGAACTGCTTCGATGTTATCCCGTTATCCCTAAGAATCACTGGCGGGCGGTGCCCGGGCATCCCGGGCGCGACAATGCAGGTTCTCAGGAGCCCGCTGTTTTGGGCTCTCACCCGTCAACCATTCCTCTGGCTGGAGGTTGCGGACCGCCGCGTTCAGGAAACCAAAGGTCCGGGTCACAAGGACAGCAAGAACAGTGGTACCGTCCTACCTAGATCTACCTAGTATATCCCCAGGTATCAAAGTAATTTTTTGCCCTCCGCTGTCGCACTAGCAGGACTGTGGGAGGGCAATTAAATATACAGGATGGCAGCCCCTGAGGGATTAGAGCCGCTAAAGCATAGGTCCCTTCCAGGATCTGCGAGGGCGCAAGATACACCAACCGAGTCTAACCAGATTCCCCAGAGACCAACTGTCACTACAGCACGCATGACACCGGCCTTCCTTCGGGATGTCCGCCGCTGGAGGTACAATTTGCCGAGACTTACAGCAAAACTAGCAAAGATACACGGAAAACAGTTAAGTACGAAACCAACAACCCCCACAACGTTCACCCAAGAAGACTCAGCTCCCTGTTAAGAAGACTCACCTTCCCATTTTCGCCACTTAATTTAGAATTTAGGTCTGCCCCAGCTCCTAGCTCTTCCCGGCTGGGAGTCTCGCTGAAGGACCCCTAACACGCAGTCTCATAGGTCTGTCCCATCTTACAGTGCAGCTCGTCCTCATGCCGGAGCCTGAGCCACCTGCTGCGAGAGCACCTGCCGAAGCAGAGAAGTCAAGACCATATCACTTTGCAGTAATCGCAGTCTGGTCGTGCACTGGTCTGACTTCCACGCGAGGAAAGCATGCGAAAACCTGCATGGAGACACGTCGGCATCCATCGGTTCACGAAGCTCTTTTTGAGTCCCCCATTCTCAGCGAAGCGTCTGACCAGCTGCGTTTCCTTTTCAGTTGCTGGGCCCCAGGGTCCGTCCGTCAGTCCTGGAGTCCTGCCCTGCTCGAAGCCGCCACACCAGCACTCCAAGCTCTCGTGCCGTCAGTGAGGCAGACCGACGGCATGCTCTGAGTCGTGGTGGCCGAGTAGGCGCTGCTGTACTCTGCTCGTGAATGCTTAGAGTCAGAGGTCGCCCATGGCATTCCGTCTTCGAGGGCTCTCTTTCGGGCAAAGGCGAAGCTTCCTCGAACAAAGGCGCGCCGCAGGAACTTCAGCGTGCTTCTGGAAAAGCTCCCAAACGTCCTGCCCAGGCATGGACAGGTCGCTCTGAATTGAAGCCACTCAGGGTGAGAAGACCGTGGGTAAGGACAAGCCCTCCGCTCCTCTTCGCCCAGAGTCTGCAAGATGTCCTGGGACAGTAATATCAAAGCAGAAACAAGAGAATTGGTGTTCTATCTCGATTTGATGGAGAATTCAGAGCAGTGCCAGTATTAGCTCAGCCATGAAAGGCTTCCATGCTGGTTACTTCCTCTCTAAGCCAAGCGGGAGCTGCACAAGAAGCTCAGCGTCTAATCACTGCCTCCACCTCTTCATCACACACATGTGCATGGCTTTAGAATGCCCTATTATTCTGCAGTCGACATCCTGGATGCAGCCCGAGAGGCCCCACAAAGCCATTTCAGGTGGCGCGCCTCAAAGTGCTGCGACTCCAGGTCCCCTCGGCCCGACAAAACTCATTGTTCACTTGGCTTGAGCATCTTGACCTAGACATTGGGGACTCAGCCGATGGACCCACTCTGCAGCAACAGAATTTCGAACCAGCAGACTCAGACGCCGATGTTCTCTTGCTTGCTTGCCCGGCCGGCCTGCCTGTGGTAAGTCCGGTCGCGTAATAAGTTATATTATATGCACGTCGTTGTTGGCACAATTAAGAACTAAGAACACATATCAAAACTTCGATTCATCTGGAAACTGTGATCATGCAAGAAAAGAGGTTACGCTTCCCGAGAAACCGTGAAAACAGAGGCCAGCCACTGCAACAACCTTCCTCGAAACTGCTACTAGCGGCTCCCTTGACACCGAGTCGGCATGGAACCAGTGTTTACGGAGGCTTTGCAAGCAACCTGGTGACTAGTACACGACCCCATCCACCAACAAGTAAGAAGTCCAGTTGAAGCCGAAATCTTCCGACAACCACAAGAAGTCCCGGCAACCCCACCTGGCTGCACAGGCTTCTCACACGCCTCCACCAGCACCTTGATGTACCTTTGCATAGACGATTGCCCCTCTAGAGCCCCCGCCTCTTTGACATGTTGGCTGAGTGGGGGGCGCAACAATTTCAAGGCGTGGGGACGTTTAGAATAATCAGCCGCAGCCCGGGTCCGCAACCAGGGTCCGGACGTGGAAACCCTATAGCCCCAGAAACCACTAGACCCATAAACCCTGAACCTAGAAAACCTTTTCAAAACACAGAAACCCTGAACCCAGAAACGTATTTTGCAGCTGGGCTCTGAGTGTCACAAGCCAGAAACCCTGAAACGACAAACCCTGAACCTAGAAATCCTAGTCCAGAAACCCGACACCTAGCCAAGTTCGGACCCGGGGTTGTCGCTGGGCGGACCCGGGTTGCCAGTTGCCAGATCCACGGTTTCGACTGTTATTCCGCCTTCCCGCCACGTCCTTGTAACAACATGCGCAAATGAAGTGTCCGCGAAGGCTGGTTCCCAGACCTAGCCCCCCATGAAACAACTATTTCCGAGACACCCCCCCCCATTCTTTGACTGTGGAGCCTGCGACCTAGCAGCAGCCACCTGCATCCGAACAGCCCCTGCCTGCCTTGGGAATCCTTGGGAACTCGGGCTCCGTCTCGCCAAGGCAAGGTCCATTGCCTCCCTTGAGTTTTTCCGGCATCCGATCTGAGGAGGAAAACTGCAAGGCGTTTGCAATTGGTACTGTTTACTGTTTCGCGTTCGGCCTGCACAGCTTGGATCGCTGGAGCATCGGGTCATGAGGCCTGAGGCGGAGCACCTCAACCCGGTCTGTCGCTGTCTGTCTGCCTGCCCATATTGATGCATAGTGAGTTGTACATATGTATACATACATGTTGCTCTTTGGGGGGAGGGTGCGTGCCCGACTGTCGTAGGTGTGTCACTGGCTGGTCCAATGTAAGCACACAGCCAGACGATTTACAGAAGGTGTGCAGATCAGGGGCAGATCAGGGGCGCGGCATGGTGCTCTTTCAACCAAGAAAAACGCAACAAATTTCAGCTCCAAGGTGCTCCTCCTCTTTGAGGCCATGCCGTGATGGCGGCAAGGCCTTGGTCTTCGCGTCCAACGCTCGAGTGAAGGTGGAGGCCACGGCATGGCAGTACGTGCAGCGCAGGTCCTGAAACGGGAAGTGTGGGCATCTGCAGCACAAACACCTCCAAGACAGCACCGAAGCTCATGATACATTCAGCTCCGTTGCACATCTCAGGGCAGCCTTGCAGCCCGAAAAGGCTCTAAAATTCACAACTTCGTTGATGGTTCAAGAACGAACACGCCAGCAGGTCCTTGCGAATTTGTGTGATGTCCACAGGCGGTTCCGGAATGCTGTCCATCTGCCTTCAAGCCGCGGCTACCACCGCTTAGATCGAGCATCTGCAGGAAGAAGTGCAGCCTGGTTGCCGTTTGATTGCGGCAAGCAGCTCGTGATCTGGTCCATCGTGGCATTGGCCACGGCCGGCCATCAGCAAGACCAGCAACACCAGTAACGGCATGGAGCTAAGAGAAACATGCTGGGAAGAGAGCTGCATTGAGCCAGATGCATTTCCAAGCCACTCATGCTACGTCTTTGGGCTGACGTGAACAGTTTGCCCGAGCTGAGCCGTTGGATCGAGATCCTCCTAGCCCTCAATCCGTGAGAGCTTTTGCCGTCTCCCGAGACTGGATCAAGGCCCATCTCGACTGGTTGTCTAAGCTTTCGAAGTATAGGGACATGCAGTTTGGGTTATGTGCTACCGACGTTATATCCGAAGCCTGAACCACAACTTCGCAACCATACGCCGCTCTTGACTTTCGGAGTATTTTCTGCAGGAATATGTTTTCACCAAGTTTTTAAAGCAGGGCTCTGTCATGCTCTGTAGCTAGGCCTGCCCCTTCAACCCGAGCTCATGTCAGACAAGGTAGGGTAGCAAACAATCAAAAGAGTTGTGCAACTCTACCGGCTCTACCTATTATCTACACATCTGTGTATGTGCGTCTCTCGGTATGCATGCAGGCGCACATGCGTAAGTACGTCTGTGTTCACGTTGCCACACCAAATCCAACCCCATCAAGCCCCAACCGAACGGCAAGCGGAAACATCTGCTGGCCTGTCCCTGGGGTGTCTGATAGTTCGGTGACTTTCCAACCTGCCACTCAGAGCTCTATCGGGCTCCGGGTGGCTACCGTTGCCGCCGTCTCAGGCAGGTGGTCCCAGAGTCGGTCCAAGAGTTTCTATAAGGAACGAGCCTTGAATCAGGTAATCGGAGGGGTTGAAATCTCTACAAACTGCGAACACCCCCAACAACGGGACCCTACATTTCGAAGGGCCCCTTATCAGCACCCCAAAGAGAGGAAGGAACCAAGGCCGCCCCAGATTGGAATAGCTTGACTCAAGTAGCCGACAAAGCAACCTCGACTCTGCCACTTCATGCCTATGAGCTCCCAATGCTCGGAAGTTCTTGAGGACCAGAAACGAAGTTTGCAAGTTTCAAGTACGAGCGAAGTACACCAGGCACGATTCCTCAGACCCCAGTCAGCCCCGCCCAGCACAATTGGCCAAGCCACCGGCAATCCAACGACCTCTGCACCGAGAGAACTACAGAGAATGACAGGAAGAAGCTCCATGAAGCAATGTCATAGTAATGGTGAGCCAATAACACAGACGCACACACACACAGACGCATACACACACGCATATATATATATATTATATATATATACATACATACATACATACATACATACATACATACATACATACATACATACACACAAACACACACAAGCACCGCTGAAGCCTACCGTCTCCGCTGCTCCTGCCTGCATACCTAAACGGCTTCAACTGTTTTTAACAAACGGCTTGCAGAGAGAGCTTGCGTGCAAGCTCTTTGTACATACAAACTTACATGGTAACATAAACGCACACACAAAAACACATTACTGTTGCTCGCTCAATGTTGGGAGGCCGCGTTAGTTCACTCCAAGAGTGCCCCCGAATGCTGTGCAACAGACTGTCAGGAGGCACCCTTCAAGTCCCCAAGGTTTTCGCCTCTTGCTGCCCCCTAGGATGATTCACTGCTCGCATTTGTTAAACCATCCCAGTAATGAACACGCTCCTCGCGGTACTCAAACTGCTCGAGAATTAGGGAGTTGTTCGGGTTCGGGATTCAGGGCTGAGCACTTCGGAGTACTACGGGCTGAGGGTACCCGCCTACACTCGCCAAGTACCAGCAGTGAGTATTGAGTCGTTTTTGTGTTTCGGGCGGGGTCAATATCAGGGAAGGGATTGCAAGTCATGTCGGGACACGTGTGCTGCCGAGAAGGCGTAGTCAGTCTGAAACGGCACCAAGTGCAGCGCGCATGCTTCGATGCTTGAGCGGTGCGGTTTCCTTTTTGGACTCTCGGCAAGTCTGCGGGAGCACTCGGTCTAATCAGCCCTGTGTGCGCCTCTGAAATTCTGAAAAGGTGGGTGGAGCAACGAGGAGATATTCGATTATGTCATGACTGCAGAATCGTACCGGAAGTTGCGCATCTGGGCCTCGTGAACACGCACTTTGTCAGCATCTAACTTGGTGTAGACGCGACCCTATCGACTCAAGGGAAGTGCAGCACTCCCGTTCTCTACAAGCCTGGGAACGGATTCCATTGTCTCCTCAATGCTAGCTCCCGGAATGCGAAGTCTCAACATTCAACCGACGTGTTGGGCAGCCAGGAAACTGAGTGTCGAGCGAGATAGCTGTACCAGTCCCAATTCTTGCAAGGACAAGCTCCCCCCTGTTGACATGTTTACACGAGCTACCATCACGTCAAACATGCTGATCCTCCTCGCTTTTGCGCCATCTTTCGAACTGTGACGGCTGCCTCCAAGGTATTCCAACCCTACACTGGAACACACTGGAAGGCGTAACAGAACGGACTGCAAGCCACAGCACAGGCAAGACCCACCGACCGTACTCTACCTCCCTCGTTGGCTTGATTAGGAAGAGGCTGACGGTTCAGCAAACATGATGCGCAATCGGCCAGTGCCTCTTTTGTCGGGTAACCGTTCCGAAAGGCTGACGTGCTACTGAAGGCTGCGCACTGCGCACTGCAGGGCTGTCACGCAGCTCCGCACGTTGATGGCTTTGCTGGCAGACTTCCGGAACCGGGTTTTCAGGAGGCGGCCTTCGGGAGGACTGCGAAAGGAGCTGTTGCTCCGAAGCCGCGATATGAGAGGCTACATGGCATTTCGGAATTGTGGTCGACAACGGTGCTAACCTGACCCTTATGACTCGATGCGGTGCGTGGTCAGCCGTGTGGCAGCCCTGCCTCCTTGTTAATTCCCAACATTTTGCGAGGCTCACAGCGGCTTGCAGTCTGGACCTGCAGTCACTGCCTGGCGATCAATCATGGCTTGTGGGGAATACACGCCAAATTTCGCCAATTCAACTGAAACTGAGCAGCGTGGCTCTTGAAGCTTCCCTGCAGCAGATCGTGCTGCAGAAAGCTATGCGATGCACACTACGCGCAATGTCACAGACGGCCTTGCGAGAGTCATGTGAATCCCAACTTGCGCAACGGCGACAGGACAAGCAGTTGAATAGGGTACCAGTACCTCAAAACTCAGACTGCAACAACCATGCTGCAACAAACAAGCGACATCTTCTGATGAAGCCAGTTCTTGAAACCTCGGCGAAGCCCCCAGGCCCAGGTGTATCGAAACCCAAGCCCCACTATCCCTGTTAGGGTTCATCCGACAGTTTGGGCCAGTTTGGGCGGAAGGCCTGCTCCTTGCTGGCCAGCTCGTGTGCAGTCTGAGATTCTCCTCCGGCACCAGAGGATGTCATTTGCTGCCGTTCCTCGGACTGGGACAACACCCTCAAGGGAATGCCCCACAGCAAGAACTGAGTCCGGATCCGCTGGAATGTTGGGTATGGCACTCTGTTGAACTTCACGAACCAGGCTTCAACTGCGCTTGCGAAACAGCATGAAAGCCCAGGGACGGAGACTGAGGGCGAACGGCTGGTGGCCGGTGCAGCTGTGGAGCCTCGAAGTTGGAGCTTACCAATGACTGCTAAACGCAAGCTTCATCATGTCTTCTCTTGCTCATCGTTCCAACTTGCACGCTTAAGTTGCCAAGTCCATCAAGGACTCGGCAGAGGAATGTCTCATGACATTCAGCTTTGCGCGCCTGTCCCGCAAGAACAGTCGGGCGGACGTTGACGCCAGGCGGTATCACGAAGCCTGCCGCAGACCCTTCGAGCTGTCGGCCGTGTGGCCGTCCATGCAGACTGCGAATCGACGAAGGACTCAACATGCAGTTTGCTTGAAATTGTGTATGTTGCAGAAAGGCCCGCCTGAGTTCACTGGGCTCCCACGTGCCAACTTTGGAACTGTGTTAGGCACCTGGTCGCTGGGCTGCTTGGTTTAGCCGCTTAGCCACACCTCAAAGTATCCTGATCGTTACCACGAAGATGATGACATGGCTGTAAAATTCCATGCATGAGAGAAACCAGACAGAGACATGCAAGACATGGTGCTGCAGGGTTCTAGCTACTTCACGAGCTCCTGCTGAATTTGCAAGAAATATCAGCTAACGAAGAACGGTGCAGCCCCCGCCTCGGCAGCTTGATGAATTTTCTGCTGCAGGGTTTCCTGGCATCCATGCTTCCCAGATGTAGACCATGCATGAGGGACTTGTGACTGGAGAGAATCGGATGCGCCGTCAGGGGCAAGATAAGAGACGGAGGGAAGGCTCGAGAGATGTTCTTGTATCATCGAGACACAAGGCCACCTGCCACGTTCGCAAACACGGTGAGTGGCAGTCTGAGTCAGTCTGTAAGTGTTGCCGCCACACGAACGACCATCGGATAACATGGAGAAAGAAGCGAACTGAAGTAAGCGAGGGAAACACCTATAGCACAAACACCACTACCAGTAAAATAAGCCGTGGATCTGTCACCACAAACGACAACTCAATCACAAAACAAGAGGTGCACAAGCCCACAGACAGACACACTTACACACAGACAGACAGACAGACAGGCAGACAGACGTACGTAAACAGCAGCACAACCCGACAGAAGACGGTATAATTATGCAGCTATGCATGCTTACCCATATACAGCGTCCGCTGGCCTGGGATTTGCTCAACTCATCCAGCTTCAGGCGCTGTGTCGAGCCCGTCACTTGTTGGAGCTTGACAGCATCCAGCTCCTGGTGAGGCGTGCAGAGGCTTTCACTTGCGTCGGAATCCTGAACCCGCAAAATAATCAAAATACTAAATCGCTGAGCAAGACCGGATGCCGCGGCCTTCAAGGCTAAGGTTCATGGAAAGGGTAGGTTTACATAGATCACCCGGTAGCATAAACAACTTGAATGATCATCGAGCAGTTTCGCCAAAATGACTCTATCGCCTTGGGGGTACGATAACAACATGTAGGCTGCCACGATCTTGCAACCTTGCACTTATCCTTGGCAGATGCGACAGCTTGACTCGTCAACGGTGGAGCCCCAACCTTCAAAACAGCCGTGCCAATCCGAAACCTGTCGTCTTCACCCTGAACCTGGAACGGCTGGATTTGTTGCTTGGCTTAGCCCCGGCGCCGCAGCAAGATTTTTGAAGACTTCGTTGCACGTTGTGAGGTTCTGACGAAGCTTCGTCCCTCTAATGTCGCCAGAATATGTTGTGCTATGCCTTGAAGGCGCTTGCTTGCCGGACAGTCGTTTTTGGTCTGCAAAGGCGAGGAAACAACCAAGTGGGCGGTGCCTGCCCACTGCGGCTGATGTTGACTCTGGTGTTTGTGGGATCCTCCAGTCCCTTTCGAGCAGCTTGTTGCGCTCTCAACTTCTCTAACGCCTGTCGAGTGGTTGGAACCTCCTTCGCAACGTTTCGAACTCCTTTCCCTCGTTCAATTGCTAACCCCTTTCTTGCTCCTTGCTCCTATTTCTCGAATACTCTTGAAAGGCAGAAGTAGTATATGTGCATATATATGTATGTGTATATACATATATATATATATCTATATCTATATCTATCTGTGTGTGTGTGTCTGCGTATGTATGTAAGTACGTACGTACGCACGTACGTACGTGTGTACGTGTGTATTTGCATGTGTGTTTGTGTGGTAGGGGGTAGGTAGGCAGGTAGGCAGGTAGGCAGGCAGGCAGGCAGGCAGGTAGGTAGGTAAAATTGTTTATTTCGTTGTCCATTTGCTTACTTACTTATAACTTATAGCAGTTCCTGTCCATGTATTCACGTAGTCATTTACATTCCACGTGCACACACGCGTACCCTGATTTATACCATGTGTACCTTCGAGGTGCCAGCCTGGAAGACAGAGGTCAGCTGGCTAAGGATGTCACGGTCGCGCTCCTGGAAAGCGCCATGGGCGAGATGCTCAACATCACCAAGACTCGAGTCTCCACAGGGTTCGACCAAACTAGATCCATGTAACGCAGAGGGCCTGATGCAATAACCCAAACCCAGAAACCTAATGTTTCCCTGCACAGGCCTCTCTCTTCCCGCTTTCGATGAAGATGGTCTGCTCCTACCAAGGTCTCCACAGATGGCCACTGCTGCCGGGAGACAGGTGTCGATGTGAACATGTACACTATCTCACTATCTGCGGTGGGACGACGTGGCAAGTTTAGCAAGGGTGTATATAGCAGCGTAGCAGCGCGGCAGTGCATCATTTGTCAACAGAAGTCGATGCCACAGCACTCCCTTAGACTTCCATTTTGCAGTTCTGGTCGTTCCCCGCTTTCGAGAGAATGGGCGAGCGTGCATCTGCGTGGCAGGCCTCCGACTGCACGCGGAGTTCCAAGGCGCTGATGTCGCTGGCCCTCTTTTGCCTTTCATCACCTGAGACTCGCAGTTGGGTTTTACTTCGCCTTCTTGACACCATGTGCAGGACATGCGACAGGTTCTATCCACAAACAGTCCTCCATTCTCGATGCCACACAACACACTGAAGGGATGCGAGGTCCACGGAAACCGAGTGCAAACCTTGCCCATCCGAGTTGCCCAAGAGCTCACGCACCTGCTGCATGCATTTGTCATCACCGTCCTGAAGAATGGAATAAGTGATGACATGGCTCGAGTGCTGCTGAACTAAACTAAGCATCTGTCGGTATTGACTTGAGCGACAACCGTACTGTCTGGGCCGCTTATACCGCTACGCACCGCTATCCACTTGAAAGTCAGAGATTGGAAACATGCTGGCTCCTCGCAATGTGACAGATCGCGACAAGCACCGGAGCCCCATTTTCAAGGAAGAGCTGTTTCATGAAGACCTGGGGAAGGCCTGCTAACCCGATGGGAGATGTGGCTTGGGCCTCTCGGGCCAGGCGCTCCGCCTGAATCGCGGCGCGCAGCTCTTCTGCGGAAGTGCCGGGCAAGGCGCCGGTCCTTCCCGCAAGGTTCAAGAGTTCACGGTGCACGTGAACATGATGTGCTACATGGTGCCGCATGAGAATGGCGCCCGAGCAGCTCCATTGTGACATTTGGCAAACTGGAAGGGTGATGAAGGGTGCATGTAGCACCGCACAGAGTCTCCCCGAGGAGGCAGAGAGACGGTGGGGAAGCCATGTAGCTTCAGCTCTGGGGCCCACACAGCAGTGATTCACTGAATTCAACTCCGAAGCTTGAAGACTGAGACAAAGCACGGAGCCGACTGACAATTCTAGTCCGAGCGGCGTGGTCCCGGTTGCAGGCAGAGAAGACATTCCCCTCACCTGAGACGATGTGCATCCATTCATCTTTCCAAGATATCTCAACCGCCACCACCTTTGGCAAGCCTCTGTGTGTTTCCTTGGCAGGTACGCTACCGACAGAATGAAGATCACCCCGTGATCCAGGTGAAGCTGCAATGGACTGATAAACCTCGATGCCGCTTTTTTCGCTGCTTTCACTAGAAGAACTCACCCTCCCCGAAGTCTCTTAGTGCTTCAGACGGAGCCTGCTCTCGTATCCGGTCCAAGCTGGACCGGACGCCCTGCACGTCCTCCTTTCGGGACGAGGACCTAGGACCAGGAGGTGCCGGGCTCTGCTTATTCACAAAGAGTACGAAGATGGCAGCAGGCTGTCCTCCTTGTGCCTTGACTCGCTGTTCCAACATGTAAAAAAGTCCAAGGAGCTCCATGCGCAGCTCGTTCCGGACTCTGTCGACGTCCGTCCAAAGCTCCTTATAAATTACCAACACAACCGGGCAGCTTTGTCCCAAGATGGTTATGGGGCCATGGTCTTTCCCTCGCCAGCCTCCCGTAGCTTGGTCTGGCCATCGATCAAGCGCTGCACGTCCTGGTCGGCTCGCGCATCGGCGGTTGAAAATGCAACACGGACATCATCTGGGACTTGACGACTTCCAGCCCGTGCATGCTCCCTCAAAAGTCCAAGAACGCCCAACCAGTGCCAAGCTCAGCTCTAACTATGGAATCCGGCGGCCGCATGGAGCTCGCGTGGGGACTCGAGCCTGGCACGCTGATGTAGCCTGCGTCTTCAAGCTGTCTGAATCTTTGTCGAAGCCCAAGTGGAGGCACAAACAGTATACTGGTAAGTAGTCCTGAAGCTCAGGCCGCATGGACATCGCCTTCGCACCATCTTGCTCCTTGGGTCAGAGTAGCATGGTCAACACACAAGCCCGCTCGCGCTTGCCGATCCCACTGCCATTGTGACCGAATCTGCATCTACAGGCCATCACACTCTTTGCCATGTATCCGCCGACCTGTCGTTCGATCAAGACTCATGCACAAGTCCACAATGGCAAATCCAAGCTGAGGTTATCTGCAGAACCAGCCCAACACTTCCACCCCTCAAGGTCTCGTGGCTCAAAGACCCTAGTTGCAGGGCCGGGGGCATCAGCAGACGGCGGCCGGCTAAGTCGTGAGATAGCCTGTGCATTCCCCCCACTGCTACAGGGAACCATGGTACTCACCCTAGAACGCACTGATTCCGGAGGCTTTCAAGCCAAACTTGCAAGCCTTAGGTAATGCACAGGAAGTTACCCTACTGACTAGTGTCTAGTGTTGTGCGTATGATACAATCAGGACCCGGCAGGAGTCACCAGACAGTTTGGTTTCTCCGTCCGTATAATGTGCAACCGTCGGCTTCTGCATGCCTACAGGGCCATGTCCGTCAACGCCACAGATGGGAAGGCCCTCTTCTCCAAGCCCAAACCCTTGGCCATCTCGGTGCAGAGGCCTGGTCCAGGCCTTCTCGGCTGCTGCGCGAAACCTCTTGAAGCTCCTGAACGACTTCAAAAAAAGGGCCAACTGAAGCCTCCGAGCTTCGTGATGTTCCCCTCTCTTTCCCGCATCCAGCTCAAAGTCGACACTGACAGCAGAGTGCCTAGAGTGTGCCTAGAGTCTGCGTGATCGAAGTCCTACTTAACCCGACAGGCATGCTGTGAGCTTGGAAGGTGCTTCCGAAAGCTCTGTGACTTCGAAAAGGACCAAACTGATGTTCCGACAGTTCTGACTCAAGCCAGAGCTTATGTCCTCGCGCAGTTCCAGCAGATCCTGGCGGTTGGTCATGAGCTCCTTCAGGTTGCAAGGTTGGCCGCCGGTGCGCTTGGGTGAAATTCGATGCCCATCACCACGTTCGGAGTTAATAATAGCGGACCGCATGCACAGCGCAGCAACCGAAACTCTGCCAACCTCAGTGATGGTGCCTAAAGACAAACAATTCTCTGATTGTCGTGACAGCAAACTAAGATTCTTAGTCTTAGTCTGGCAGTCTGACCACCGAAATCCATCGCAGTGTCTCAGGTCCTTGGAGCTTCTTTCCACGAACGATGCCACACTGGCTTCCTTGTCAGCTCACTAATGGTTGAGTCTTATAGGCACGTTCCCCAACAGCGTGTGAATGTTAAGCCGATGCGGTTCTTGCTTCTTGCTTTCGGACTTGAAAGATCTGGTTACTCAGGACGCGAGAAGTTCGCGGCGCTCCACCACAAACGCCGAAACCATTGTAAAGTCCAATACTTGGCTGCTCAGGGCATTTCACCGTTCTGATTCTGGGCTTCAAATCGCTCGAAGTCCCTAAACTCCGACGCTGTCCCACCATTGTGCGGTGCGTTTTCTGGGTTGCCAACCGTGCTCCCGCCACAGTCTGGTGCGCTTAGAAGCTTCAGGGCTGCTCTTGGAATGGTTCTTCAGTAGTTGCGTAGTCTATGACGGCTCTTATACGTGAATGAATGAACTAATTAATGAATGAACGACTGATTAACTCAATGTATGCATGTATGTGTGATTGTGTGTGTGTATGTATTTAGCTAGGTAGGTAGGTAGGTAGGTAGGTAGGTAGGTAGGTAGGTAGGCAGGCAGGCAGGCAGGCAGGTAGGTAGGTAGGTAAGTAGTTCGGTAGGTAGGTAAGTAGTTCGGTAGGTAGGTCGGTCGGTCGGTCGGCAGCTAGGTAGCTAGCTAGCTAGGTGGTAGGTAGGTAGGCAGGCAGGCAGGCAGGCAGGGGCAGGCAGGCATGTGCATGCACGCTTACATACCTACATACCTACTTACATACCTACCTACATACACACCTGCCTGCATACACACACAGGATGTTATATACCGACATGCACACATATAGACACATCAATCCATCCATCTATCCATCTGATATATATATATATATGTATATATATATGTATATATATATATATATGTATGTATGTATGTATGTATGTATGTATGTATGCATGTATATATATATACACACACGCTAAGTCGCTAAGTCCATCTGTATCTGTGTATATAATTAAATATACGTAACTATACATGCACCTTATTATTGTTGTTATGATTACTAAATACCACGGTTACTATTGATCTTCTTCTTATTGTTAGTAGTAATATCATTACATCTTCATTGAATATATTCGAGGGAGTACACGCTCCGCCCTCTCCTCCGCTCCAATTTGACACTTCAGCCTTCTCCGGCCAAACTCTAACACATCCTGTACTCAAGATCGTGAGGTGCACTGAGGACGATGCCAGACTCGCCTGCAGCTGCTTCTCCTCAGATCATTGCAGCTGCATGCTCAGTTGATGCAGCAGACTCAGACACGCGTAGAATGCAGACTCGTATTGTCATGCAGGGCACAAGCTTTGGTGGAACAGGGTGGCAGGAAGCAAGCAACCCGAACAAAAACAAGCCCATGCACAAACGGTCAAGTTCTCGACCCGTGACGAATCGAACGCTGCTTGCCCGCAGGAACTGGGAAAAGCGTGAAATTTGCACATCGGGGCCCCGGAAGGCTCCAAAATCTCCACAGTTCAGCCAAAGTGCGATATCTTTGGTGGCAGTCTCGAGGTGCACTTGCTGCTCTGCCATCAACTGCTGAACCTTCAGCCTCTCCTGCAATCACCAAAGATTCAGGACTTGAGTTCATTGTTCCCGTCGCAGCTTGACTTACACTTCTAAAACTACGCGTCTGCCGATGGCTGCATTTGACGTCAGCCATGTTGTGGCTATACTATATCCCGCTTCCCTCTATGATTCTCGGAAAGTTTCGTTTTTGTAATTATCAGAAACCCCTCCTACGAATGCCACAGCATATTGGATCGGCGGCTGGGCTGACAGATGGGCACACAGTGCTGACTTCACGTCGGCGACAGAGGCTGGACTCACAGCAACTGGCCTCAGGAATCTTCTCATCAAAGGACTTCCTTGTCTGTTGCAGATTGGCACCATGTCGGGAAAGGCATCAGAAAGCGGAAGGTCATGTCAATCAAACTCTCTATGTCTGTTGTGCAGGCGATGGCTTCTTGACATGCGTCAGTTTGAAGAGATCATGATGAGGATCGAGGAACTACAGCCTCTCGCTTGGCACTTCAAACCAAACGAGTAGCCCGTAGCCCCTAACAGTCTTCATGAAAATGGCAAACGAAAAGCCGAGTGTCAGCAGCAGCATATAGGTCTCCTCCCTCTCACGAGTCGCCTCGCACGTGCTGAAACGGTGCCAAGTCCATCATCAACAGCCAGAGTCTAGGAGTCTAGGACCTCAGGATTACCATGCTCGCCCATCGAACGGTCTACAATTCCTTTGACGGATTCAAACTAAGGCAAGCACCGAACCCTGCAAAAGTGCATTGGAACCAACACCGTGTGCGACTCTGCGGAAGTGGCGGATTGCAGCAGGGACAAGTATCCATGCGGCCTTGTAACTTGCACCGGCTTCTCTCTATCCGACATGCGACGACGTATTCGTGCAATCCTGTACGTCTTCCACGTGTCATCACACGCTTCAAAGCCGAAGCCTCTCGCCTGCATCTCAGCGTCCTGGCTCCGATGGTGGGCCTCGGAAGCCTCTTGGATGGCCTTGGCCTGTGCACATTGCACGGGGATTTCGGGATTCGGAATCTTTTGTAATCTAAAAGAATCACTGCCCACCACATGAAACCCCCCGTCCCAATATCTGCTGCACTGTGCGAGGGGGACAACCAGCGGTCACTGACTGTCGGGTGCTACTACGAAGCAGAGTATATTTTGGCTTGCAGAATTGGTTGAAACTAAGGTTGCAAGCAGTTCTTGGTACTACCAGTGCCGTTCGCGATGACCAATGGCTAAAAGACTGCTAAAAGTATTGTGAGCCTTACTTCCTAAAACGAAGCTGCAAAACTCAAAAATAACTAGGCTCGTCCTGGGCTGAAGCCCAGACCAAGTCGCAGACCCTCCCGTCTCGCAACGATCCCACCCCCAGTAAGCCCCAGAGGGACCTCCCAAAGTATGTTCACCCAAGTGGACAGTGTTCCCAATGGCCCACACTACCAACCAACATGAAGCTTATGTGCATGTTCTGCATGATGCAGAAAATATCAGAAAATTACAACTTGTCTTTTCCAGCTAACAAGGCAGTCCATGCCTCAGCGGTGGCAGTGTCCAACTTGGCCTGCAGCCGCTGCTCAACCTGGCACAAGACCAGCCACCCAACTGGGCCTAGCCGGCAGGGCTGGTCCCAAGCAACTTGCTCCGAACAAGAAGGCCAAGCGGCTAAGCATTTCTCCAAGTCAAGAAGCTACTCTCGAAGATAATCGACGTCCGAAGGTAGACAAAAGGCATAGCGAGAAGGGTCTACGTCTGCAACTGTTCTCCATGTTGCGGAAGGAATGCGAAGTGGCCGAGCTAGGTACAAGCCCACTCCCTATAATTGCTCACACCGATCCGTCCGGGGAAATGAAACACTGGTACCAACGGACCACGGTGGCCAGCATGCCTCCTCTTGCTAAGTCCATTTCCTTGACTTCATCCGATACTTTTTCCCCCGCGTACTAGCATCTACAGTGGTGGCTTGAATAGACACTCGCATGTCACGGAACTGGTTCGGTGATGTTTGCACCTGCTGCAGTGCTTCATCTTGGCGTTGTCGGCCGCCCGCTACCAACCTTACAGGGGCTGCGGATATTTCGGCACCACCGTGCACCATCAAAAAACAAAAAGCATCAACTAGAGTGATGCATGACGATGCGAAGGCAGCTTGCTCACATACCCGTCAGCTGAACTGTGCTACATCGAGTTCCCGATGTACAACTGCAGATTTGCAGGGCTGAAAGTTTCGAAGTTTGAGCGATATTGCAAGCATACGAAACTCTGAGGGACTGCCTTCCAGACCGCAATGGGCGCAAGAACATCGTTCCAAACCGAGGCACTCGTGAAAGGTCGACAGCAGCTTCGTCGCTTCCTGATGTCAGATCTCAGTCAGCTGCAATCTTCGCAAGGGCACGTGGGACATTTTTCGGCGACGGGCTGAGATCAGACAGCATCGTTCCACGAAGGTTGCAACACAGGTTCAGCCGAGAGCAACAAGGACAGCCTCTGTCCGCATGCTCTGACCTTAATGGTCCTACATGAACTCAATGACTCAATGGCATCTCCCAGGCTTTTCCACGTTTTCAAGCATCTACTCACTGCATGCCACAAGCTTCCTTGGCGAATGCGCAACAGCCAATCTCACCCTTTGCTTACTAGCCGTTACCAGCCGCAAGCTGCTGTCAAGCCAACACAAATTCCACGGAGTAAACAAACTCCGGATCATTTGACATGCAGAGATGCTGAAGCTCCATCGTGGAACCTTCCCCTCCCCACTCCCCACTCCTCGTGGCGGCTGGTGGCCTCTGCTTCCAAGGCCTTCCGGCACAGGCAAGGACGGATTGCTTTGTCTCTCTGACGGATACCGGATACCTTGGCATGCCATAGCGATTCCTGACTTTGCCTCTCCTTTCCGGTGTGCCTGGGGAAGCCCCCATGCTGTGTGCACCCTGCCTTCTCAAGATGCTCCACGCGGCTGGCCAGGGCTTGCCTTGGAGCTTCCGCGAGTGAGGAAAGCCGCACTTTGCTTCGGCAACTGAACCGAAGGGCAAACCACTTCTCTCCCAGGTGCAGCTCCCCCGCAGGTACGGATGGTGCTCCGAGGCCAGCCCCTGCAGGATCACTCGACCTCCAGGGGCCCCAACGCAACTGTGACTTGGTACTTATCCTTTCAAGAGTCCCGAAAGGCATGCTGGCAAGTGAGTCGGACAATCGGGAACCACTAAAGGATGTGACTAGGAGCTTTGTGAATTTGGGATGCGTGGAACTGTCGCAACCTTGTCCATAGGTAGGGAAAACCCAGTCGAGGGTTTCCTCGATGTACACCGCGAGCAGGATCCTTTTACCCCCCTGCGTCTTGAGCTGGTTTTGGCATGTTTTGGTTTGCTCAAATTCTCGGGGCTTGCCAGCAGCGCCACATGGCCAGCAAACTTGCGCTGAAAGCTGCTGCCAACTGCCAGACCAGGCCTTTCACTCAGCTGCCGACGGACCTGGACGTCGGCTTCAAGACAATGCTGCTACGGTACGCGCTATTGTGAACTCAAGCACGCGAGATGACCATCAATGGGACAACAGTCACTTGGAGAGCCACAACCTGCATGGGGAATGAACAACACCGTCTACCCAAAAAAACCAGCACCCCAACACTAAAACCGACTTCAAGCTTCTAACAGTCAATGCCTCCGCACGGACGAGACCCTCGGTGATGGACGACGATGCTGTGGGAGATGTTGCCTTGATGGCGCGAAGCACTTGCACAGCAGGCTTAAGCCAGCGATGTGCAAGGATCCAACTGTCGGACAGGCAAGTAGGTGATGCTGGAAGACCTACTTTGCTCGACGGCAGCCCTTGATGGAACCTTTGAAGTTTCCGGGAGTGTTTGGAAGGCCCGGCCCCAAAACGACATGAGTCTCTGAATGGCTGTTTGCTCGCGAAAGCATGGTTTCTACAGTGTCAGCGTGACTGGACCTAATCAGATGTCTTATCAGCGGCCTCGCCGCGAGCTTGGACCCGAAGTTGGTCGACCAGCCTGTTGCTGGCAGGACAGATTCTCGAGCTGCTTGGTGGGTGTTAGGCCAGCCTGGAAAGATCGGTGGTGGCATTGCTGATTTCAAGCTTTTGCATGTCCAGCTCCTGCCGGATGTTGTCTCCTTGCAGGCTTAGGCAGCCAGAGCTGCTGAATCTTGCTCAAACGTTTAAGGACAAAAACCTGGAGCGTGGAAGCCAAGTGATCCAAGTGTCGAAAGTGGCCAAACTCGCTGAGGACTTGCTGCGTCTGGGTTGCAGCGGCGCCTAATACTCAGCGCTCGGGCAGTGCAGCCATCGGCCATTACCAGTCACAACCAAGTGATGAACGGTGGTAGAACAAACTGTCTTCGCGCTGCGGCCAGGTCGAGCCTACTTCGAGCCGCACTTCTCGCTGCATCGCTCCCAATCGTGCCTGCTGCAGGGGTGGACAGCGTTGATGTACCGTTTCTTGTTCTCTGAGAGCTGCCCGACATAACTCCTGTTCTTTTTGCCTCAAGACAAGTCAACGTTCCTTTCGGTGTTCTGTGGCTCATCACAGCATGGAGCTCGAGCTGTGGGCTGCCCCAGCATTGTTATGCAATCCCCGGATTACGTGCAGTCTCTCTTTTTCCTTGTTTCCGGAAGATTCAGTCTTCTTCCTTCGGGCATAAGGGGCGCGTCAGGCCCCTCGGCCAAAGTGGCCCCCCGTTTTCTGGGGCTTTCGAGGGGCTCGGGCACTGTCCCCCGTACCAACACGCTATCGTCAACCAAACGTACCAAGAACACCAACCAATGACACAGTCTCTCTCTCTCTCTCTCGGCTTCTTCTGCTGCGGAGTTTTAAGAGCAAGCACCTTGAATCCGGTGGCAACGGCCTGGGGGCTCAGGATTCGGCACTCACACTCGGACCCTCCAGGCGAAGCACATGTGTCTTCTGGTCTATTGAGGCGAAAAAACCGGACCAATAAGCAAATGACCGCAATAACCTAACCATACGAACCTTAAGCCATAGCTCATTCAGAGTTCCAGGTCTTCCGTTCTCGAGTTCAAGGCGCGGGGCAGCAACCTACCGGGATTGTGCAGCAAAACCAAATCGAAACCCAAGGGGGTCTCTAGAAAGTATTGAGAAGGGAATGGTGTCTTCGGCCTGGCAGCTTGCTCACTCACAGCAACCGACACTGCCGAGAGGCCTCGAGATGGCTCTCTACCGCGCGACGCAAAGCCTGAGCAGTTTTCTGGGCAGGTTTAGGGCTTGTGCAAGCCAGCAAGCCAGAATGGCCTGCGTTTTCAACAGCAACGATTTACCAGGATCGGATTATGTCAGGTTGCACTACGGAATAGCTCAGCAGCCTACGCCTGCAATGGCAGGCAGGTCTACCTAAGCAGCCCTATGCAAGCCACGACACGGATTCTTCCTTGATGGTGGTGTGCCATCGCTGCTCCAATCCTCTGTGCCGACGGTCTTCATGCAGACAAAAGAGGGGTGTGGGTGTGTGGGTGTGTGGGTGTGTGTCCCTGTCGCAAGCATCGCAAGCTCTCCGCCGGAAAATCGCAGAGCCGCACTTCCAAGCGACAAGGCTCGGCTCTCCGACTGCTCCCGGAGGCTTTGCGACGTGCGGAGGGCCTCCGGGGGGGGGGAGCCAGGGTCCAGGCTTAAGGCTCTAGGCCACTTCTGGGGGCTCCCCTGAAAAGACTCGTCTCTCGGCCCTCGGCCTCGTCTCGTCGCTTCCTTTCCTCCTGCACATCGAGATCGAGTCGAATCTTTCGCTCACTTTGATTGGCCAAAATCGGGGGCCTGTATCATGGAGTCCATGCTGGCGCCCATCTGCTTGCGAGCTTGGACTTCCATCCTGGCAAGTACTTGCACTTGCCGCCGCAGTCAGGTGGCTTTCTACAGCTACGGATTGCGCAGAAAGTTCACATTTGTCCACCCACAGCTCTCTGCTACATGCACGCCATTCATTTTCAGTCGGGCCCGGTCCTGACTTCATGTCGGATTGAGCGCATCTCCTGGGGGCTGCAGCTTTTTCGAGAAGCCTCGCAGCCTCCGAGTTTGGACTTGAACCTATGTCACATGACCCTGCGTGCTCCGAATCCATTCTCCACCGAGCCATTGGACCTCGAATGCTTTCGCCTGATTCGATTCGAGTCTGCCGGTCTGATTCTGACACCAAAACCGACCCCAAAGGCAAAGTAAACCCTTTTTTCCACAGGCTTGAACTGAGCTCGCCCGGCCAGATCCCTCGCAGCACATCGCACTCGTGGCGAGATGCGCAAGGCTAAGTACGCAAAGTAAACCCTAAACCCTAAACCCTAAGCCCTAAGCCCTAAACCCCATGCTCCTGAAGCAGGTCCGGAGGCTGTAAACTGCCAGCGCCGCATGGGCCGCCAGCAGGCAAGCAAGGGCTGGTCCTTGACTCTGATATAAGATGGTTTAGGCTTTAGTTGGCTTCTTTCGGCAGCTTGCCGTCCATCTGCTCATGAGCAACTGCAGGCTGTCCGCACCATGGTTAAGCTATGTCAACTAACGCGTATAGCCTGGTGCCTCGGCTATCGGGAAGTTCTGCGTCCAAACCCCCAAAAGAACAGCAATCTTTCACAAGACAATGCTGGCCATGCAGCATGGAGCTCTTGGGGTATGCGCCCACATCCTTCATCAAGGACTTCTTCAGCGTCTCGATAACCTGGAACGGTGGTCTGACGTAAGGGCATTCGCTAACGCAAGCTGAATTTAAAGGCCTACAGCCTGGACGTGGCGAGCCAGCCAGTACAAAATGGATAGGAAAGCCACCGGCTCGTCGCAATCCTGGCTACCTCACTCCCCACCTTCATTGCTTACTTCCGGTAGCCATTTTGTCCAAGAGGCCAGGGTGCTGGCTAGCGAGCTGGAATCGCTACCTGTGCCTGAGGGACCAGATGTGTGGCTTGGGCCAGGCCGTACTTTACATGCTGAAGCATTTATCCTCACCCGCAAGTACAACGCATTTTGAGATGACGAAACACATTACCAGAAACCCCCTTTAAACCCTTGCCCTTGAAAATGCATTCGATCAGTGTGTCACTGACTATGCTTTGGCCGGGTGGCCCTGGCTGGTGCTAATCATCGCTTGGCTGGAAACTGCCGCTCCTCAGTGAGAGGTCTCAGTGTTCATTTGTATGTGCAACTGCCCTCCTCCGCGAACAGCGAGTGTTCCGGCATTGGCATGGCACCGCTGACATACGAAAGGCCGCTGTCAGGTTGCAAACGCAACATCCCATTCAATGCAGCTTGTCATAGTCATTTCATGAGCGACAATGAGTCCCCAAACCGCCTGACTGCTTCCACAGTCTTGCAGGGCAATCTGGCCAAATAACAGAACAACAGTCACGCAGGTGTACATTGTACATGTGTCTGGAAACACTCAGACATTCCTAAATTGATGTTCATGAAACACACACTCTCTCTCTCAGTATATATATATATACACATCTCTCTCTCTCTCTCTCTTTCTAAGTGTTTGTATATATATATACACATGTGTGTATCTGTATACATATATTATATGTATATACATAAACACAATGCACACATGTGCATGTATACATGCCGATACACGCGTGCCCTCGCACTCATGAACACATGCATGGCAGGCATATACAAATCAGTCGAATAAACGTGTACCCGTTCGCAGAGACATATAGATGTGCGTCTATGTATGTGTGTGTGTGTCTGCATGTATGTATGCATGTATACAATTCAGAGAGACAGGGTGAGTTATGTATGCACATGGTTCAGGTCTGCTCGCCAAGTGAAGAAGCACCGGCTGTCGTGCGGATCATGACATCGAGGCCCTTGACCTCGTCCCCCCCCCCCCCTCCGCCCGTGGATTGACTATAACTTGCTGGCTGGGTTGTGCTTTGGGGCGAACCTGGACCCTGAACCCTCTCCTCACAAATATTGAAGATCACGGTTTCATGCCAGTCTCTGATGCCATCTTTGGGATCTCTGAGACGCTGCTGGCACAGTTGCGATAATCACGAGGGACCTTGTTGAATTTCGGCTGCTTGAATCAATGCACCAGCGCGGTTCTATCAGCGCCGTACTTTGCAAACTTCGCTGCTCGTATGAAGCAACTTCAAGGTCAAAGTTTTTTTGTAGTTATGAAGGATTCTAGAAGATTTTACGTAGGCTCTTCGACGAATCGAGCGCCAGCCAAAAAATCTGACGCCCGCCCTTTGTCACTTGCCACACTTTTGCTCTTTGGCCGGCATCTGAAGGGATTTGGCACAGAACGTGCAGAAGTCATGCTCAACTCTAGACTGTGAGCAGGCAGGATGCCGCCTCCAATGATCCAGCGATCTGAGGCAGCCCTGCTTGAGAGAGGAATACGGCAGGGCGCTGTGCATGCGTATGTATACATAGGTACATATGCACTCAGAAGACTTGGATCCATATCTTCATCTACATATGCCTATTCTTATGTGTAATCATGCTTAGATGATATGCTGTCATCTACTGTCCGGGTACACTTTCGCTCGTGTTGTAAGTTGTAGGTACAGTATCTACATAATTATTCGTCTGTCTGTGTGTGTGCGTGCGTGTGCATCTTAGCAAACGATACTTAACAGAAACGAAACATGTGTACATGAGCCGTTGATGACAAGGCGCCGCTCGGCGTGCTGCAGGTCCCGCCTTGCGAAGGCCTCCCACCATCCTTGCGCACCTGGAGTTGCTGATTGCAGAAGCGGAGAGGGGACCGTGTCTCGGCACCCAGTAGAATACACAACCATGATTGCTGACATCATCACTCGAATGCCTGCAAATCGACATGGCGCCAAGAAAGCTGTCGCTCTTTCATATCACACTCATATATATATACACATACACACACACACACGCACTTACATATACACACACACACTTACACACACACACACACGTGCGCACATACACACACACACACGCGCGCACGCACACACACACACACATACACAGATATATATATAT